AAAGAGCGACCCCCCCCTGAAGGGAGGGGGGTTTTCCTCCCCCCCCGCCCCCCCCCCCCCCCGGTGTTTGCCATCGGGGTTGGGTTTTCGTCGCTTGGCAACGGCGTTGTAAAACAAGCCGAATCACTTCGTGAGCTCGGCAACCAGGTTGCTGTTTTTTTTTTGTACCTCTGTTTTTTTTTCTGCGGTAACCATAATGGTGGTCGAGTAGATCATGTTGTGCGGGGTCGAGGACCCTCACTCCGCGCAAAGGGGATGATCGCACCACGGTGTCAAGCATTCTCGAGGTAGTTACACAGTGCTTATAACTGTCTCTGGAAATGAAAGCACCAGAAATTATATTAAGTCATGCGGAAGTAAGCATAAGATGCCGAACACTTAGCAGGATGCAGCGCAGCCTTCATGCGACTCGCCGAATATCTCACGGCGCTTCGCGCTTGGTGATGTGAGAGCCTGGTCCGGTGAGAACCCGGCGTGCTCCGTCCCGGTTTTGTAGGGATGCGAGGTCAATGGTCAAACGACTACGGCATGCACGACTATGAGTACACCCCCTATCCCCCCNNNNCCACACCAATAGTTTGTATAACCCCCCCCCCCCCCCGCACCGTGCATGCACGCCGCCTTTCCTCAAGCCGCCTCCGAAGGTGGATAAGCTCCGCAAGGACAACGACAACCTGAAGAAGAGCAACGAGTCTCTCCGGAGGGACCGGCAGTACGAGAAGCAGAAGGCCCTGAACTCGTACGAGGCGAGCGGGATGTCCTACCACGCCCTCAACCAGACGGTCAAGGCGCTGTCGTCGAGCAAGAAGAAACTCACCGCCGAGGTGAGAGGGAAAGAGAGATACACTGATGGGAAACATAGAGAGAGGGAGGGGGGTGTACCCATAGTCGTGCATGCCGTAGTCGTTAGACCATTGACCTCGCATCCCTGCAAAGCCGGGACGGAGCACGCCGGGTTCTCACCGGACCAGGCTCTCACATCACCAAGGGGGGGGTGTACTCGCCAAGGGGGGGGGGGGGGGGGGGACCCCAAATCCGGGATGCCGGAATCCTTTGGCCCTTGGGGGGGGGGGGGGGGGGGGAATTTTTTTTTAATGGCGGGGAAAAAAAAAAACGGGGGGGGGGGACCCCCCCCCCAAGGGGAACCCCCGTTGCCCCGGGTTTCCGCGCTTTTTTTT